TGTTGGTGTGTGTGTTGTGTGTGTGTGTGTGTGTGTGTGTGTGTGTGTGTGTGTGTGTGTGTGTGAGAGAGAGAGAGAGAGAGAGAGAGAGAGAGAGAGAGAGAGAGAGAAAGAGAGATTATAGGGATCTAAGAGTGCACCTCTTTTCGTTTTTTTCTTATTACTCTATAATGCAGCTGAAGGTCCTTTTCATTTTTTTCATTTTGCCTGAAAGAAAAATTGTTGAAACAGATTATTGAAATTGTTGTGTTTGCTAGATTTCTGTCTTAGAAATCAAATTTGCATATACACAGATTGGTTCATGTTCAGTTCAGCAAGCCATATTGATCAAAATAGATGAAGTGTGTAAATGTGGCAATTGTCTGGATATTACTGATGACTTTAGTCAGAGTTAATTATTTGCAATAATTTCAAAAACATGAAAGACAATATTGAGTCATGAATCAAATTGTCCATATTATCTCAAAGAAAGTATAATGTTGATGGCGGCAATTTAGTTTCATCAACTGCTGAATGTAATTTGCAATTATTTTTTTTACGATAAGCAAAAAGAAATTGTATATTTGCTGGCAAATTATTTGCAAAACAAAATACATACTCAGGGTTTTCTATTCAACATTATATTTAATATTATAAGGGTTTCATTCACATAAAACTCCATATGGTTCACAGTTATTGCCCTTGGGTTAAAAAACACTTTGATTTTGTTCCCCCCTTTTTTTGTAATGGTTGATTTTTTTCTACACATACGGTGAGAGGCTGCATGTATGTGCCAGTGCCTATTTGCCTAGATTGTCTGATCTATTGTACTTTTCACAGATTTACCTTTTCCGTAGTATTTATACTAGCAGAATCTCCTTGTTTACTGGCAGCTGACAGAGTACAGCCATGTGAAAAAATGCCTTTTGCTTTTTATGCTAGTCTCTTTTTTGAAAGTTGTATACGTAACAATACTTCAAGAATTATCTTTTGTTAAACAACAATATTGGTATGTTTGATATACTGGTCATTCTTTCAGATGTATATTTTGTGAAAATTGT